GTTCCTTCAGTTACAGGCTCCAGAGCAGTGAGTGTTTGGATGTGGATACCCCAGGGGTCTTGTGAAAATGTGGATTTTTATCTTGGGTGGGGCTTGAGACTCTATATCAAACCAGGTCCCAATTTATGCTGAAAATAACTTATAGAATGTGAATTTAAAGTAGAGAATACTCTTACAGAAATTAAGAAAAGGAAGCGTAATGATTAAAGAGGAGCCACTGGTATACGGATCGTGCGAAAGAGAGAGAAAACATTTACAGAGACCAAGAAAGAAAAGAGTAGGACTCAGCTGCATGGGGTAAAGGGGAGGAAAGAAACGGGAACAGACATGGGGGACTACTCCTTGTTGTTCGATGCCGTCGGGTCGGTTCCGACTCATAGCGACCCTATGTATAACAACAAAACACTGCCTGGTCCTGTGCCATCCTCACAATTGTTGCTGTGTTTGAGCCCATTGTTGCAGCCACTGTGTCCATCTCGTTGAGGGTCTTCCTCTTTTTCAATGACCTTTTACCAAGCATGATGACTGTCTCCAGGGACCGATCCCTCCTGATAACATGTCCCAAGTATGTGTGATGTAGTCTTGCTATCCTTGCTTCTGAGGAGGATTCTGGTTGTACTTTTTCCAAGACAGATTTGTTCATTCTTTTGGCAGTCCATGGAATATTCAATATCCTTCGTCAGCACCACAATTCAAGGGCGTCATTTCTGCAGTCTTCCTTATTCATTGTCCAGGTTTCGCATGCATATGAGACGATTGAAAACACCATGGCTTGGGTCAGGCACACCTTAGTCCTCAAGATGACATCTTTGCTTTTTAACACTTTAAAGAGATTTCTTGCAGCCATTTTGCCAAATGCAGTGCGTCTTTTGATTTCTTGATTGCTGCTTCCATGGGTGTTGATTGTGGATCCAAGTAAAATGAAATCCTTGACAACCTCAATGTTTTCTCCGTTTATCATGATGTTGCTTATTGGTCCAGTTGTGAGGATTTTTGTTTTCTTTATGTTGAGGTGTAATCCATGCTGAAGGCTGTGGTCCTTGATCTTCATCAGTAAGTGCTTCAAGTCCTCTTCACTTTCAGCAAGAGAGGTTCTGTCATCTGCATAACGTAGGTTGTTAATAAGCCTTTCTCCAATCCTGAAGCCCTGTTCTTCTTCGTATAGTCCAGCTTCTCGGATTATTTGCTCAGCATACCGATTGAATAGGTAAGATGAAAGGATACAACCTTGACACACACCTTTCCTGACTTTAAACCATGCAGTATCCCCTTGTTCTGTTCAAACGACTGCCTCTTGATTTATCTGCAGATTCCTCATGAGCACAATTAAGTGTTCTGGAATTCCCGTTCTCGGCAATGTTATCCGTAGTTTGTTATGATCCACACAGTCGAATGCTTAGCATAGTCAATAAAACACAGGTAAACATCTTTCTGGTATTTTTTACTTTCAGCCAGGATCCATCTGACATCAGCAGTGATATCCCTGGTTCTACATCGTCTTCTAAATCCAACTTGAATTTCTGGCAGTTTTCTGTTGATATACTGTTGCAGCTGGTTTTGAATGATCTCCAGCATAATTTTGATTGCATGTGATATTAATGATATTGTGTGATAATTTCCGCACTCAGCTGGATTACCTTTCTTAGAAATAGGCATAAATATGGAGCTCTTCCAGTCAGTTGGCCAAGTAGCTGTCTTCCAAATTTCTTGGCATAGACGAATGAGCACTTCCAGTGCTGCATCCATTTGTTGAAACATCTCAATTGGTATTCTGTCAATTCCTGGAGCTTTATTTTTCGCCAATGCCTTTATTGCCACTTGGACTTCTTCCTTCAGTACCATCTGTTTCTGATCGTCTGTCACCTCCTGAAATGTTTGAACGCCAACCAGTTCTTTATGATACAGTGACTCTGCGTATTCCTTCCATTTTCTTTTGTTGCATCCTGTGTCATTTAATAGTTTCTCCTGTGGAATCCTTCAGTATTGCAACTCGAGGCTTGAATTTTTTCTTCAGTTCTTTCAGCTTGAGAAATGCTAAGCGTGTTCTTCACTTTTGGTTTTCTATCTCCAGGTCTTTGTACATGTCGTCATAATACCTTGTCTTCTCGGGCCACCCTTTGAAATCTTTTGTTCAGCTCTTTTCATCATTTTTTCCTTTTCCTTTAGCTACTTGACATTCAAAAGCAAGTTTCAGAGTCTCTTCTGACATCCATTTAGGTCTTTTCTTTCTCTCCTGTCTTTTTAATGATCTCTTGTTTTCTTCATGTATGACGTCCTTTATGTCATTCCACAACTCGTTTGATCTTCTATCATTAGTATTTAGCGTGTCATATCTATTCTTGAGATGGTCTCTAAATTCAGGTGGAATATACTCAAGGTCGTACTTGGGCTCTCGTGGACTTGTTCTAATTTTTTTCAGTTTCACCTTGAACTTGCGTATGAGTAATTGATAGTCTGATGCCCAGTCGGCCCCTGGCCTTGTTCTGATATTAAGCTTCTCCATCATCTCTTTCCAGAGGTGTAGTTGATTTGGTTCCTGTGTATTCCATCTGGTGAGGTCCGTGTGTTTAGTCGCCGTTTATATTAGTGAAAAAAAGTATTGTAATGAAGAAGTTGTTGGTCTTGCAAAATTCAATCATGTGATCTCTGGCATCGTTTCTGTCACGAAGGCTGTGTTTTCCAACTACCGATCCTTCTTCGTTTCCAACTTTTGCATTCCAATCACCCGTAATTATCAGTGCATCTTGATTGCATGTTGGATCAATTTCAAACTGCGTAAGTTGGTAAAAATCTTCAGTTTCTTCATCTTTAGTGGTTGGTGCATAAATTTGACTAATAGTCGTATTAACTGGTCTTCCTTGTAGGTGTATGGATATTATCCTATCACTGACAGCATTGTACCTCAGGATAGATCTTGAAATGTTCTTTTTGACGATGAATGCAATGCCATTCCTCTTCAAGTTGTCATTCCTGGCATAGTAGACCATATGATTGTCCGATACCAAATGACCAATACCAGTCCGTTTCAGCTCACTAATGCGTAGAAAATCGATCTTTATGCGTTCCATCCCATTTTTGACGATTTCCAATTTTCCTAGGTTCATACTTCGTACATTCCACATTCTGATTACTAATGGATGTTTTCACCTGTTCTAATTTTGAGTCTTGACCCGTCAGCAGATGAAGATCCCGAAAGCTTGATTCCATCCACGTCACTAAGATCTACTCTACTTTGAGGAGGCAGCCTTTCCCCAGTTTTCTTTTGAGTGCCTTTCACCCTGGGGACTCATCTTCTGGCACTATAACAGACAGTGTTCTGCTCTTCATAACGTTTTCAGTGGCTAAGTCTTCTCAGGAGTAGACTGCCGGTTCTTTCTTCCTAATTTGTCTTAGTCTGGAAGCTCAGCTGAAAGCTGTCTGCCATGGGTGACCCTGCAGGTATTTGAATACCAGTGGCATAGCTTCTAGCATCACAGCAGCACACAAGTTCCCACAGTATGACAAACTGATGGACGTGTAAGGGGACTGCTCCTTAGAGAACACTTAACGAGTTTCTGATTTATCAGTTGATCAGTTATTATAAAGCTGAAAGAGAATGTGTTGTGGAGTTGTCCCAGATTTCTGAAAAGCTTGAGGACTGGTGGTGTCATGGCCAGGGAGTGAAGGGGGAGAAAAAAAACTAAAAAAACTCGAGGGGAAGAAAAAAAGGTTAGTTGCAAAATCAACAGGAAAAATACTGATCACATATTACCGTGGTGTAAATGACGAAGATCAAATGATGAAGATCAAAGACCACAACCTGCAGTGTGGATTACACCTTAACATGAAGAAAACAAAAATCCTCACAGCTAGACCAGTAAGCAACATCATAATAGATAGAAAAAAGATTGAAGTTGTCAGGATTTCATTTTACTTGGATCCACAGTCATCTCCCACGGAAGCAGCAATCAGGAAATCAAAAGGTGCATTGCACTGGGTAAATCGGCTGCAAGTGTTAAAAAGCAAAGATGTCATCTTGAGGACTAAGGTGTGCCTGACCCAAGCCATGGTGTTTTCAGTCGTCTCATATGCGTGCGAAACCTGGACAATGAATAAGGAAGACTGAAGAAATGATGCCTTTGAATTGTATTGACGAAGGATATTGAATATAAGATGGACTGCCAAAAGAATGAACAAATCTGTCTTGGAAAAAGTAAAACCAGAATGCTCCTTAGAAGCAAGCCTGGCAAGACTACGTCTCACATACTTTGGACATGTTATCAGGAGGGAACGGTCCCTGGAGAAGGACATCATGCTTGGTAGAGTAGAGGGTCATTGAAAAAGAGGAAGACCCTCAATGAGATGGAATGTCATAGCGGCCACAACAGTGGACTCAAGCATAACGAGGATTATGGGGATGGTGCAGGACCGGGCAGTGTTTCGTTGTGTTGTACATAGGGTTGCTATGAGTCGGAACCGACTCGATGGCACGTAAAAACAACATAAATAAAATAAAAGTTTTAAAAATCAAAGCACAACCGAAGAGTTTCAACTGCACGTAATTACAAATCAGTAATGCATGATGAGTTTATTGACTTGAACTTAAAAAATATATTCTGAAGATTCACTAATGTTGATATCAAATAAAAGTGTGTGGTTTCTACAGAGGTGAACCCTTAACCTCATAGGTGAACCCTCAACCTAAGCTTTGGACTCCTGACATCCTGGAGGAAGCCAGGTTCACGGGTTCCAGCCTGGGCAGGCCTGGATGCCTCTCATGGCCTGGAATTAGGAAACCCTTCCTTCTGTGACTTTGTTGCCAGAGGAGGAGGCTTATGGATCTGCATGAAGAATGCAAGTGTGTGCTCTGGAAGGCTGGAGCAGGATCTGCCTTAAGTACAAACGCCCTCAGAGTGGAGCGTGGCCTTGAGCCTGGGGGGAAGCTGTGCCCAGAAGGGAGCTGAAGGCCAAGAACTTGGCACTTCCTCCTTATTCACCACTGTCTCCTTCTTCCATTTCAGGTCCCAGGTGTGATGCAGAAAGAGTTAGTCCAGCCTAGGCAGCTGGGGACCAAGGGTAACCTTCTTGCTCATCCATGCAATCAGAAGGATTTTAACTGCTCTGCCTGTGTGTACCAAACATCATTCATCTGCCTCCAGATTGCCTAGTGGTGCTGCGTCCACTGCCATCCCTCTTCCTGAAGTGGCTTCTTGGGCTTAGAGAGCACATTCACTTAGACTTCCAGAAGCTGGAGCAAGAAAATGGTGCGTACTGCAGAGAACCCTGGGGTATTATTACCATAAGGGGTGAGGCTGGATATGGGGACCATGTCCTCCAAGCCCTGAGGTTCCTCAATGAGGTGAAAATGTGGCAGATGAGGCCAAGGGACAGAGCCCTAAGAGGCAGCCTGAGGCCCTGCTCTACTGTCACTAGGCCTTTCCTCTACACATATGTGGATTTTCAAGCATTGGATGCTTGGGGTCACTTTCCTTTTGTGACTCTCAAGGGTGGCATCATTGGGTGTTAACATCTCTGTCCTGGGCCTTGATTCTGTGTTGAATGACAGGACCTCCTGACCAGAGTCTAAAGATGGAGCGGCTCTGGCTGAGGAGACCGAACCCCAGATCCTCCAGAGCCATCCTTGTCCCATCCCTGCACACAGTTTTCTTGGCTTCCTCGAGGCACTTGAGCCTTTTCTGTGCAGTTCTGTAACTACAGCTCCACCTCTCACACTGTGTGATGTGGTAGCAAATGAGGAGAGAGTTGGTAGCAGAAGGCCCTGTTAATGGGGTCCTGCGTGGAGCTTGGTCCTGTCATGAACTCACCAATGAAATGAGGCAAAGGACAGTGAGTCCGGCTGGATCATGTGTGGGGTCTCCAGATCCATCCTTTTTGGAGGGATGCTCTTTGAGACTTTCCAGTGTTTAGGAAGCATGTTTCCCCACTTTGTGTCTTTGTCCTCCCACCCTTCTCTGCCTAGAGCTGGTAATGAGTCTGTATAATTTTAACTGCTCTCCACAGTCTCAAATGGGAATCTAAAATAAAAGTGTTCTTTTTTGCTAGACAAGCTCAGCATATGAGATGGTGTATTTAACTTCTTTGGTTTATAGTTTCCATTGGAAGAAGATTTCTAGATTCAGTTTGTGTTTCTACTGAGAATTTTTTGGTTTAATATATATAAACTTCTCAAACACAGAGGAATGCTTACTTTAACTGATGTAAGAGTAAATGTTCAAAAGTAAAACACTTTTTCTCCTACTTTGTTACTCAAAAGGTATCTTGGAGTTTACACTTGCTTTTTAATCAACAAATTTTCTTGTAGTTTTAGTAATAATACATAGAGAGGTTAAATCTAATTTCTTGTTTTTAAGCGTGGTTTAAAACCAGAAACCAAACCCACTGCCATTGAGTCAATTCTGACTCATAGTGACCCTGTAATTGTGCTTTAGGTGAAAGTTTACAGAGCAAATTACTTTCTGATTGAACAATTAATACACAGATTGTTTTCTGACATTGATTGCCACCCCTGCAATGTATCAATAATTTCCCCTTCTCCACCCCGGGTTCGCCATTTCCATTTGTCCAGTTTTTCTGTCCCTTCCTGCCTTCTTGTTTTTGCTTTTGGGCTGGCATGCCCATTTAGTCTTCCTATCCATGATTGAACTGTGAAGCACGTTCCTCACATGTGTTATTGTTTATTTTATAGACCTGTTTAAACTTTGGCTGAAGGGTGAACTTCAGAAGTGACTTAAGTACTGAGTTAAAAGGGTGTCCGGGGACCATACTCTCAGGGTTTCTGCAGTCTCTGTCAGACCAGTAAGTCTGGTCTTTTTTTGTGAATTTGAATTTTGTTCTACGTTTTTCTCCAGCTCTGTCCTGGATCCTCTATTGTTATCCCTGTCAGAACAGTTGGTAGTGATTGCTGGGCACAAACTAGTTGTTCAGGGCTTAGTCTGGTGGAGGCTGTGGTAGTTGTGGTCCATTAGTCCTTTGGACTAACTTTTCCCTTGTGTGTTTGGTTTTCTTCATTCTCCTTTGCTTCAGATGGGGTGGAACCAATAGATGTGTCTTAGATGGCTGCTTGTAAGCTTTTAATACCCCAGATGCTACTCACTACAGTTGGGTACAGAACATTTTCTTTATAAACTCTGTTATGCCAGTTGAGCTAGATGTCCCCCAAGACCATGGTCCCCAGCCCTTATCCCAGTATAACTGAGTCCCTCAGGGAGTTTGGATGTGTCTATGAAGCTTCTGTGACTTTGCCTTGGTCAAGTTGTGCTGACTTCCCCAGTATTGTGTACTGTCTTACCCTTCACCAAAGTTACTACTTATCTACTATCGAAACCAAAAACCAAACCTCTTGCCGTCAAGTCGATTCTGACTCAGCGATCCTGTAGGATAGGATAGAACTGCCCCATAGGGTCTCCAAGGAGCATCTGGTGGATTCATGCTGCTGACCTTTTGATTAGTAGCCGAGCTCTTAAACACTGGGCCACCAGGGCTCCAGTCTACTATCTAGTTAGTGTTCTTCCCTCCTCATCCCTCCCCTCCCTGGTAACCATCGAAGATTGTTTCTTTTTGTATGCAGACCTTTTTTTGAGTTTTTATAATGGTGGTCTCATACAGTATTTGTTCTTTTGTGATTGAGTTATTTCACTCAGCTTAATGCCCTCTAGATTCATCCATGTTGTGAGATGTTTCGCAGACTTATCATTGTTCTTTATTGTTGCATAGTATTCCATTGTACGTTATCATAGTTTATCCATTCGTTGTTGGTCATTTAGGTTGTTGCCATTTTTTTGCTATTGTGAATAATGCTGCAGTGAACGTGGGTGTACATATGTCTATTCGTGTGATGTCTCTTATTTCTCTGGGATACGTTCCTAGGAGTGGGATTGCTGGATCTTATGGTATTTCTATTTCTAGCTTTTTAAGGAGGCGCTATATCATTTTCTAAAGTGGTCATACCATTTTACATCCCTACCAGCAGTGCATAAGAGTTCTAATGTCCCCGCAGCGTCTCCAACATTTGTTATTTCCAGTATTTTTGATTCGTGACAGTAATGTCGGGGTGAGATGGTATCTCATCGTAGTTTTGATTTGCATTTCTCTAACGGCTAGTGAACACAAGTATTTCCTCATGTCTGTTAGCCGCCTGAATGTCTTCTTTGGTGAAGTGTCTGTTCATATCCGTTGCCCATTTTTTAATTTTATTGTCTTTTTGTTGTAGAGGTGTTTGGATTTTCTTATAGATTTTATAGATTAAATCTTTATCTAATATGTCGTAGAAAAAAATTTTTTCCAGTCTGTAGGTTCTCTTTTGGTGAAGTCTTTTGATGAGCATTAGTGTTTAATTTTCAGAAGATCCCAGTTGTCTAGCTTATCTTCTGGCATTTGTGTATAGTTAGTTATGGTTTGTACCCTATTTATGCCATGTATTAGGGCGTCTAGCATTGACCTTATTTTTTCTTCTATGATCTTTATAGTTTTTGGTTGTATATTTAGGTCTTTGATCCATTTTGTATTCGTTTTTGTGTATGATGTGAAGTATGGGGTCCTGTTTCATTTTTTTTTTCTACAGTTGGACATCTAGCTGTACTAGCACCATTTGATAAAGACTGTCTTTTCCCCATTTAATGGACTTTGGGCTTTTGTCAAAGATCAGATGAATTTACATCTGAGTTCTCAATTCTGTTCCATTGGTCAATGTGTCTGTTGTTGTACCAATACCAGGCTGTTTTGACTTTCGTACCTGTATAGTAGGTTCTGAGATCAGGTAGTGGGAGGCCTCCTACTTTGTTTTTCTTCTTCAATAATGCTTTACTTATCAGATCTAATTTTTTATAAAACTCCATAATACTATATGTGGTGATCTTTGTTTATTGTTTTGACTATATTGCTACGAATGGACACTTGATTGTGTCCAATATTTTACTCTTACAAAGCTTGCTCTAGTGAATATAAATTTTTAAGACCCAAGTATCAAACGTTTAGACATACAAGCCCTTCTGAACTAAGACAAGTTAAATCAAAATAAAGAGGTTTTCACAACTTATATGAAAATTACATTTCTTTCATTTTTTAAGCCAGTGCTTTAAGCTTTTATTGTCAACTGTATCATAAACTAGGAGTGCATAAACTGTTCATGTATAGTTTAAATAACAGGAATCTAAATCCTTGATAATAGACCTTGCCAGTTTTTATGGCCTCCCAGTATGTATGTTCCAGGAAATGCTGGTTGTGTAGTGGTCAAGAGCTACAGCTGCCAACCAAAAGGTCGGCAGTTTGAATCCACCAGCGCTCCTTGAAAACTCTATGGGGCAGTTCTACTGTGTCCTGTAGGGTTGCTATGAGTCAGAATCGACTTGATGGCAATTGTTTGGGTAATGTGTCCCACCGTGATGGCATCTGCTTCCTGCCTGGAGATTATTGCTGTCTGCATTTGAGAAGTTTGTTCTTATTACCATTATTACTGCTCTTATACCTTTGACACCCAAACCTTTTATTTTTTTTTGGAATAACATTGTTTTTTCAATGAAGGTTTACACAGCAGTTTAGGTTCCCATTCAGTAATTTGTATACAGATTGTTCAGCGACATTGGTTACATTCTTCCCAATTCATGAACATTCTCAGTATTTATATTCTAGTTGTTTTCTTCCCATTAATCTAGTTTCTCTGCCCCCTTATGTTTTTGTCTTTGTTTTTAAATCATTATTGACCGTTTGGTGTCATATAGATGATTTTTTAAGGGAGTACAGTATTCACAGATGGTATCCTTTATTTTGTGAGCCAATCTGTTATTTAGCTAAAAGGAGACCTCAGGTGCTGATTTCGGTTCAAGGTTTAAAGAGTATCTCAGGGAAATAGTCTTGGGGAGTCCTCCAGTCTCAACTGGTCCAGTACATGTTTTTTGTTTCGTTTTTTAGGAATTTGAGATTCTGTTCCACATTCTTCTCCATTCCATCAGGTCCATCTGTTGTGGCCCTGATCAGAATGGTTGGTAGTGGTAGGCACCATCTCACCTAGTTCTTCTGGTCTCAGGGTAGATGAGGCCATGGTTCATGTGGACTGTTAGTCCTGTAGACTAGTTTCTTCTTTGAATCTTTGGTTTCCGCCTTTCTCTTTTGCTCCAGATGAGTAGAGACCAATAGTTGTATCTTAGATGGCAGCTCACGAGCTTTTAAGACCCCAGACACTATTCACTAAACTAGGGTGTAGAACATAAACTTTATGAACTGCATTATGCCAATTGACTGAGATGTC